CTTGTGTTTTCAGCGTAGACTCGGTGTTTCTTTGACTCATTTTTTATTTTGCTATATTTTTCAGTGTTATCGCTCATTTTTTTTGCCTTATGTCCTTGAGTAAGTTCACTGAGATTATGTCCCAGTCACTTTTGACTGTTCACTTAGTGTATCATGCCAGTCAAAGTCAATATGAATCAGTCCACAGTACCAACATTCCCTTACTGACTGAAAGACATTACCTAGCCCTTGAGCAATGTGTTTGTTCTCACAGCTTGTATCTGAGATTTGTTAAAGTGCTGCGAAATGTGAAGTTCCGATTAAGTTCCTATAGATCCGTGAATTACTTATTAACGTAGCCGAGCGGTCAGGCACTAGTATACTGTCACTCCTGTCTGGACTCCAGCCACAATATCAAGCACGCAGGATAGTGCGACTACTATCCTTGCGATGGCGACTTGTTCATGTATTCGTTCCTTCCCAGGGGATGCTTTGAGAAGAACTTGACTTGCAACGAGTTATGCCATCTCTTGCTGATGCCACAAGCTGTGCAGAAAGACGTTTCTGTGGCTAGTATGCTCACTTGAGTGTTGTTGTTGTCCCTTGTGTTTCAGATTGTGATCCCATCCTAGTTGACAGTAATCAGTGCATTGTAAGAAGTTATTTCTCGAGTAACTTCCACGTTGTTAACGTTTGTAAGTGAAGTTCATAGCTGATACCTCGTGTCACTGTGTGCGACTCAGATGAATATCAGCATTGTTCACCGTGTTCATTTCTTTTCTCCTGTGCTTGCAGTTTGAGATAGTAGATTAGTTCTCCGCTCATATTGCGTGTTATAGCGTTAATTTTTTTCAACCGGGGGGAGTCATCCACTCCACCGAGTTTGTTCATTCCTCCAGTAAGAAAGAACCGATCCCTTGTGTTCTGGTGATTCGATTCCTGCTCCAGGAAGATCTTATTCTTACTGTGAAGCCACCAGCACCCATCAGTGACTTTGTCATGAACCAAGAATTACTGTATCGAACAGCCGAGTTGGGTACTCCTAGCAGAAGAGTATACCAGTTAGTAATTCCACAGTCACTAGTGAATGTAGCCTACAGCTAGTTCACGATGTACCAGGTGTTGCACACCCTGTATGGATCGTTCAGTAAAACAAGCCAGATTGAAATACTTTTGGCCTCGTATGGCAACTGATATTTCTGAGTATGTTAAGAAATGTAGTGTCTGCATGCAACATAAAGGTAATGCTAATGGTCCTAATCCAATCCAAGTATATCCAACCACTAGCGAACCTTGGGAAAGAGTTGCACTAGATTTGTTAACTAATTTCCAATGTTCCCTCCAAGGCAACAAACATCTGTGTGTTATGGTAGACCATTTCACCAGATATTGTGAGTTAGTTCCTATTCCAGATAAGACTGCCGAGGACAGTAGCTAAAGAAGCGTTTAAAGAACGCATTATCTGCAGGCATACCACCCCTAAGTTCCCTAGTAACAGATAATGGAGGTGAATTCTGTAATGAGATTCTTGAAAATTTGTGCACCTTGTACAAGATCTCTAAATCCACCATTGTTCCTCATCATCCTGCCAGCAATGGGTTAGCAGAACGAACCAATAAGAAAGTACTTGATGTCTTGAGAGCCACTATCAATCCCAACAGTGAAACTTGGGATGAAGTTATACCTGATGTGCAGTGTGCTATAAATTCTGCTTACAATGTTTCTATAGGTGACACTCCACATTATGCATTGTACTGTGTAGATAAACGTTTGCCTTATGAGTTGTTATATTCTAATCCGAAACCAAATTACAACCCTGATGATTTCATAGCAACTCGTACCTGCTTAGCTCAAAGTGTTTTTAGAAGAATCCGTGAAACACTTCATAAATCAACAGCAGAATTTACAAGAGTCGCAAACACTCGAGCAAAGCCATCCAAAATCAAGGTAGGTTCGAGAGTTATGCTGACTAACTTTAACAAAACGTCTGCAGTGCCAAAGCTTGATCAAAAGTTTGTTGGTCCTTATCGAGTAGTTGAACATATCACTGGTAATAAGTATAAGGTTAGAGAGATTAGTACTGGTCAGTATAAAGAATCGCATTTAGATCATATGAAGTTAGTATGTGATGATAATGATGTTCCAACCCAGACTAATGTGACACTCTGACAATCCTCCTGATCCTGTACTCTCTTCCTCTGATACTCAGTCAGACGATCAACCTGAATGTCGTTATTCCCTACGTACACGACAGGTATTGAGAAACCCTCAAGTATCATTTGTAACTACCAATTCAGATTTGCCTCAAATACAGCATGAGTTAGCCAGTGCTACAGAATTCGATCCTCCCAGAGATGACACCCATTCTGCATATGTCAATCTTACCCTAGCAGAGTTGGGGTTAAATGTAAATAACCTGTATAGATGAATAATTACAGTATCAACTTATCAGTATTCAAGAATTTTTTTTTTGTGTTCATGTTCTCTCCGCATTCTGAGAGTTAACAGTCTAGATTTGAGTGCACCGAATCTGCCTTTCTGTTAAACACTTCTTTCTTTGTATATATTCCTTCCTCAGAATCCGTAGATCACATGAATACAGATCGATCGATCAAATTTTGTTTTATCACTTCTATTGTGTAATCCCAACGTTGAGTTTCATTCGATGAGTTGTGCATTACAGTTTCAGTTACGTAAGCTTCCATTCCAATGTTCTACTTATGTATGTTATAATGTTCAATTGTTGTGTACTTTGACATTGTATAGAATCAGCCCAAGCCGTATACCTGCCATCTCTAGTTTGTATTAGTTGTATGTCGGGATGACATACGTTAGCGTCGCCGAGCTCTCGGTAGTAGTAACCAGTTAACAGTAACCAGTGTACCAGTAGATGACTCACTACCAACCGTCTCTGCGTGAATTCACTGGCTGTATTCATATTGTTGCTGACCTAGCAGGATTTCAAGCGCCCCCTCGCCCATGGGCACTCCTCAGTCAGTGTTACGAGAGTGAGCAAGGAGACAAGGTTACGGCTGTTAGGGCGCTCCCCACATTATCCGTAATTATACGTACTTTCAGCCTACGTGAGTATTACTTTACCCTATCCACGTGTTCGAACCCCACATGATACTTGCCGTCATTCGTACAAGTTGTCTGTCTACCACATTTTGTATTTATGTTAATTTATTCTACTGTGGGGTGTATTTATCATCTTCATATGTTACGTATCGTGTTTGTTATATATTTTTGAAAAAAATATCATAGATCAATTAATGAAAATGTGTATATTAACCCCTAAACGGTCCAGACGTATATATACGTTCTCTCGCGTAGCGCCCCAAACATATATATACATTTTCTTTGTCATTCATTCAACATTGCCACTATAAGCCTGAGTCGCCTAGACATGAGAGAATGGGTGTGCGCACTCACTGTGCGCCATATTAAAGTAATTGGGGATGCCTGGGTACCATATGCTCTTTTTTCCTATTAAAAAACAATTTTTTTTTTTTCTCAAAAAACTTTGGAGCGCTACACGAGTGAACGTATATATACGTTTGGACTGTTTAAGGGTTAATGTATTATATGACATTTAATGAGGCTCAGTGATTATTATTGAGTATTATTATTATCATTACTAATATGATGTCTCGAGACATAAGACACTCTTACTGATTTTAATGTGTATCTGCATGCCAGCACAGTGTGTAAGTTTATTTAAGTACAGGTATGCATAAGTATAATTATCAGAGTATATATAAAATATGAAATAACTTTTATAAACACTTGAAATTTTGGAGTTTCCAGACATAATGGAGAGACATGGTGCTTATGGAGCTCACAGAGAATGTAAACCTGGGTGGGGCGCAGTGACCGTATTAGAAAGTCACGTGGGGGGAGCTGCATAGTGAGTTTCGGTCATACAGTGGACCCTCGACATTCGATACTAATCTGTTCCTGAGAGCTATCGAATGTTGAAAATATCGAAAGTCGAATTAATTTTCCTCATAAGAAATAATGGAAATCAAATTAATCTGTGCAAGACACCCAAAAGTATGATAAAAAAAATTTTACCACATGAAATATTAAGTTTAATGCAATAGAATAATTACAGTAATAACAATAACAATAGAATAATAACAATAGAATAATTGACACTTACCTTTAATGAAGATCTGGTGATGATTGATGGGATGGGAGGAGGGGAGAGTGCCGAAGTTGTTATTGTTTAGAAGGGGAATCCCCTTCCATTAGGACTTGAGGTAGCAAGTCCTTTTCCGGGGTTACTTCCCTTCTTTTAATGCCCTTAGGACCAGCTTGAGAGTCACTGGACCTTTGTCGCCGTTCCTTTAAGATTTGTCTAAAATGGGCCATAAAATTGTCATTGTAATAGTCACCAGCACGGCTTGCAATAACTGTGTTAGGGTGATTTTCATCCATAAAGGTTTGCAGTTCAACCCACTTTGCACACATTTCCTTAATTTTTGAAGTAGGCACAATGGAGTCCACAACTGGCAGAGGCTTCTCAGGGTTAGCCCCAAACCCTTCAAAATCTTTCTTAATTTCCATACTAATTCTCACCCTTTTTACCACAGGGTTGGCACAGAAGCTTTCTTGGGGCCCATGGTGACTTATTTTGCAGAAACAAGCACCAAAAACAGTGATAATATGAAATGTATAATATGAAATGTACCGAATGTATCCTTAGATGCGCACACTGAGTGCACAGACTCATTCTCTCATGTCTAGGAGACTCAGGCCTATTGCACCAGATTTGAAAGCATGAAAAATAAAATGTATATCTGCGTTCGGAGCACTAGCGGTACAAACGTAGATCTACGTTTGAATATTTTAAAGGTTAATTAGACAGTTTAAAAAAAATAATTGCATACTGTAATTTGATTTTCATTATGGAAATGAGCACTCTACATAATTTTACTTGCAATATTTGTTAGTGTATGCACCTGTCTGCAGTGGCTGTTAATTGGTATAATATAAAATATTTTTCATTATATTCATAGGTGAAAGTGTATGAAGACTTCCATTGTAGATTGATCCTACCTGATGAAGAAAAGTTTTTGGTGATGCAAATTGCTGTGTTCAACAATAAATATGCTCTTTTCACACGCTGGGGTCAGCTGGTAAGTAGAACCTGTTTGGGTTTAACTTTGTATTCTGGGGGATGGGAATAAGGAAAGTGAGATTTAAATGCAGGCACTGCCTGCAGTGAATAACTGATAGTCAGAATTGTATAGGGCAGTTGTTACTCATAAGTGGTCCGTAAATTTTATCTGGTCATTTGCAACACTATCTTGTAGCACATGATAATTTACTTGAAAACCATTTGTGGTTTGTATAGATCATAGTAATGCAGAATAAAATTCTCAAGTGATAATAGTCCTGCTTGAAGTTTGCTGGAAGCAAGGATTGGAGTTCTAAAAGCAGAATGTATGTTTTTATGGGTACTGACTTTACATCATTTGATAACTGCTTATAAAAATACTGGTTCGTTAAATTGTCAGCACTTACAATGTCTGCATTATCTTCTTCACTTGTCCATTTTATCTTCTTGGCAAGGGATGCAGTCAACAGTCCACACTCATTTCATATCTCACTCATGGCTTTTGGTAAAGTTTGGTACATTTTTTATATCTTGGTAATCAAAAATTTAGTGTTGCTGGATTAAGTGGTCTTTGTTAAGATGCCATATATTTGACCATGGAACGACCTGGGAACTTGATAAGATTACCATGTATGTATGTGGGTGTAGGTGGCTAACAACCCAATCATGGATTTAGACACCTTTTGGCTTGTAGGGCCTAAGTGCTGTGATAGGCATTGTTGGCCTGTTACCTGCCTAAAAATGTAGTCTAAATAACCAAGTAACTAGGAGCTACAAGAATAGAGGAATAATTTGCCACAGTTTGGGTTTAGACCAAAAACAAGTACGAATGATGCTATTATACAAATGCTTGAACTAATATATACAGCCCTTGATAAAAATGAATATCCTCTGGGGCTCTTCATTGACCTACGAAAAGCATTTGATACAGTTGACCACACTCTCCTGCACCTAAAACTAAATCGTTACTGCATTAAAGTACATTCCCTTGATTACCTAAAATCTTATCTTGACAACAGACACCATTATGTACATGCAAAATGAGTCAACTCCACTATTGAACCTGTAGCTGTAGGAGTACCCCACTCCTCTTTCTCATCTTCATCATTGATCTCCTCAATGCATCCCAACTCCTTAAACAGTTCTGCTGTTTGCAGATGACACTACTTATTTTTTTTTTTTTTATCATACTGGCCGATTCCCACCAAGGCAGGGTGGCCCGAAAAAGAAAAACTTTCACCATCATTCACTCCATCACTGTCTTGCCAGAAGGGTGCTTTACACTACAGTTTTTAAACTGCAACATTAACACCCCTCCTTCAGAGTGCAGGCACTGTACTTCCCATCTCCAGGACTCAAGTCCGGCCTGCCGGTTTCCCTGAACCCCTTCATAAATGTTACTTTGCTCACACTCCAACAGCACGTCAAGTATTAAAAACCATTTGTCTCCATTCACTCCTATCAAACACGCTCACGCATGCCTGCTGGAAGTACAAGCCCCTTGCACACAAAACCTCCTTTACCCCCTCCCTCCAACCTTTCCTAGGCCGACCCCTACCCCGCCTTCCTTCCACTACAGACTGATACACTCTTGAAGTCACTCTGTTTCGCTCCATTCTCTCTACATGTCCGAACCACCTCAACAACCCTTCCTCAGCCCTCTGGACAACAGTTTTGGTAATCCCGCACCTCCTCCTAACTTCCAAACTACGAATTCTCTGCATTATATTCACACCACACATTGCCCTCAGACATGACATCTCCACTGCCTCCAGCCTTCTCCTCGCTGCAACATTCATCACCCACGCTTCACACCCATATAAGAGCGTTGGTAAAACTATACTCTCATACATTCCCCTCTTTGCCTCCAAGGACAAAGTTCTTTGACTCCACAGACTCCTAAGTACACCACTCACCCTTTTCCCCTCATCAATTCTATGATTCACCTCATCTTTCATAGACCCATCCGCTGACACGTCCACTCCCAAATATCTGAATACATTCACCTCCTCCATACTCTCTCCCTCCAATCTAATATCCAATCTTTCATCACCTAATCTTTTTGTTATCCTCATAACCTTACTCTTTCCTGTATTCACTTTTAATTTTCTTCTTTTGCACACCCTACCAAATTCATCCACCAATCTCTGAAACTTCTTTGCGACACTACTTATGTCTACTCCATTCAAACCCAGCTATACTTAGAAACACTAAACAACAAGCTGCCAAAAATGTATACTTGGATGATGACCAACAAACTCACTCTCAACATAGACAAAACATACTTCATGCTGTTTGGAAACCGCCTCAAATATCCAACTTAATATATTGATAAATGGTTCCTCTATATCAAGACACACTGAGGGTAAATTTCTAGGTCTTCATTTTTGTCCATTGAATTAAAGCATGAAATCATAGAAAAACACGAGTGAGGTGCGCATGTAGTTGACTTGGCGAGGCAGTACAAGTGTAGTGTGTGCTCCGTGCCTCGTGCCTTCTCACAGAGAAGGCACGAGGCATTTATGCTGATTTACTTCCGAGATATTCACCCAAAATGTAGGCAGGTCTCCTGACTCGGGGGGGGGGGGATATATTCTGAGAAAATTATTTTTGTTTCAGTGTTTTCCTTGTGAAACTAGTGATCTAGTGCAGTTAGCCTCACAAACACTCTGTTTTCTCTTATAATAAGACTTCAGTAGGGCAAGAATGGGAAGACATGGTCAGAGCTATAATTACACCTACCATCCGACTTATGACCAAGTTCGGTTCCGAGAAACCGGTCGTAAGTCGAAATGGACGTAAGTCGAACTTTACTATTGAATATCAACATAACATTTTTGTAATGACTTTATTTTATTGTTTTATTTTGGTATTTCATGTTTTACTTTGCTTTTTATGCTGTTAGTACTGTATTTTATACTGTAAGGTTTAGGATAAACACTGTGTACAACACAAACACTTGTTTATTTCCCAGAAATTTGGCATAAAAAACAGTCATAAGTCGGATGGTAGATGCATTTTTACCTCGGGAGTGGCCGCCACCACCCATCACATAATGACATACAGTGGAACCTCTGCTTACGAGTTTAATCACTGAACTTAACTGATACAATTTGTTTTGTTTAATCACTGAACATGACTGATACAGCTTTAGTATCTACATATCGTGGATATACTAAGCTGGTATTGCCTGACTGAGTCCATGGAAATCGTCTTTTTCTTCTCAGCACTGCCCTTTGCACTTATTTTCTTAGGACCCATGGTTAGAAAAAAGAAATTTGCCAAATGACTGTAAAAAATTGCAAACAAGCATGAGAGAACTGCTCCTACAGCGATGTAAACATGTGTACTGCTTACAGGATGTTTTGGCATCAGCTGTGCCAACTAGCGGCAGCATTCTGAATTATTATTACACGGCTAGCGCTCTCACTTCACACGGCAAGAGCCTGGGTTCAGTTCCCAGCCAGAGTAGAAACATTGGGCGTGTTTCTTTCCACCTGTTGTCTATGTTCCCCATCAATCAAAATGGGTACCTGGGTGTTAGTCGACTGGTGTGGGTCACATCCTGGGACACTGACCTAATTTGCCCGAAATGCTGAGCATAACAAGGGGCTTTCTATATAGTAGTATGTCATTGTTGTCAGCTAGGCCTGTATACCATGTACATGTACTTGTAGTAAATAAAGATATTATTATTATTATTAATTTAGGGAACTGAAGCTCTATTGTTATAATAATAATAATAATAATATTATTATTATTAATTTAGGTAACTGGAGCACAGATCCAATTCCCTAGATTATTATTATAACAAACGCCGCCAACTCAGTTTACCTCGCTACTGGAGCAGTTCTCTCATGCTTTCCTTACATTTTTGATAGTCATTTGGCCAAATTTCGTTTTTCTAAGCATGGGTCCTAAGAAAGTAAGTGTAAAGGACAATGCTGAAAAGAAAAAGATGATGATTTCCATGGAATTAAAGCATGAAATCATAGATAAACAAGTGAGGTGTCCAGGTTTTGCGTTGATGGGGAAGCAGGGGGAGATGGCTCGTAACTCAGAGCAAAAAATTGACCCAGGGACGGCTCGTGTCTCAAAAAAACTCGTACGTTGGGACACTAGTAAGTCAAAGTCCCACTGTATTCCTTGAATAATTTTGCTAATATAATCTATACGGCTTATTTATCTGTCACAGGTCATCTAATATGACATAATAAACAATATATATAACATAGAAACCTGATATATACTCTAGAATGAATAAAATGTCATTTTGTAACAGGTGGAGGTGGCCATAACCGCTCCCGCTTTGTTGTGGTAAACACTACCATCTAGTGATGGCCTTTTGAAGCCGTCTATTATTATAATTATTGTATAGTACATTATTATTATTATACATGTACAGTGGTCCCTCGGTTTTCGTAGTTCTCGGTAATCGTAAATTTCGCCAATCATAGGGGTATTTTCATATAAACATGGACTCGCTTTTCATAGGTTGACTCGCGAATAGTAGTTCGTCTGGGACGTGTACACACGGCGTGAGCCGGGGAGGCCTCCCTACCCAGCCAGTCTGGCATTGTTTACCAGTGAGTGAAGGTCCCCTCAAGTGCTCCTACGAAATATTTCATAATATTCCACTCATTTTAGTGCTTGCAAGTACTAAATAAGCTACCATGGCTCCAAAGAAAGCTCCTAGTGCCAAGCCTGTGGTAAAGAAGGTGAGAAATATGTACAGTGACAAAGTCTTGGGCCATTTTAGGGAAGTGTTAAAGAGACGCCAGAAACAGAGCTCTCTCCACAGTTACTTTGCGAGACAGGACTAGAGTGACTCTAAAGGTGGTCCTAGTGGCATTAAGAAACAGAGAAGAGAAGCAATTGGTACCTGAGGTGTTGCTGGAAGGGGATTCCCCTTCCAAACTGTAAACAATCCACTCTCTCTCCTCCTCCAGTCTCCCATACACTAAGAAGAATCTCCAATAAAGGTAAGTGTTATGCTGTTAATGTTTCATTCATTAATTCCCATTGTATTGTTTATGTACTACATGTATATTTCATGTAAAAATTTTTTTTGTTTTAATACTTCTGGGTGTCAGGAACGGATTAATTGTATTTACATTATTTCTTATGGGGAAAATTGATTTGCAAATCGTAAATTTCGTTTATAGTAGCTCCTCCAGAAACGGATTAATTACGAAAAACAAGGGACCACTGTATTATTATTATACGTATTATTTTATACTATTATTATTATACGTATTATTATTATTATATTTATTATTACATGTATTATTTTTTTTTTTTTTCAACAAGTCGGCCGTCTCCCACCGAGGCAGGGTGACCCAAAAAAGAAAGAAAATCCCCAAAAAGAAAATACTTTCATCATCATTCAACACTTTCACCACACTCGCACATTATCACTGTTTTTGCAGAGGTGCTCAGAATACAACAGTCTAGAAGCATACACATATAAAGATACACAACATATCCCTCCAAACTGCCAATATCCCAAACCCCTCCTTTAAAGTGCAGGCATTGTACTTCCCATTTCCAGGACTCAAGTCCGACTATATGAAAATAACCGGTTTCCCTGAATCCCTTCACTAAATATTACCCTGCTCACACTCCAACAGATCGTCAGGTCCCAAGTACCATTCGTCTCCATTCACTCCTATCTAACACGCTCACGCACGCTTGCTGGAAGTCCAAGCCCCTTACCCTTATTATTTATTATTATTATTGTTATTATTATTATTATTATTATTGTTATTATTATTATTATTATTATTATTATTATTATTATTATTATTATTATTATTATTATTATTATTATTATTATTATTATTACAATACAAATAATTTGTAATTTTTATTCACACAAAAAATAGAAGATTTACTGTTATGCAGACTACTGCATTATTGTAATAATTGTATAAATAATATCAACCCATTCACGACTGCATATTGGAACAGACAGTAACATCATTTGTTTACTTGTGAACATTTATTGTTCGATTTCTTTCATTTTTGGTTTACGTTAAGAATCATCTTTCCATCATACATTGCCCAAGTTTCAATAAGATAGTCAAACAAACAAATGAGATCCAGTTCCCTAGATAAAAAGCAAGAGTCCTTCACCAGCGTCAAGGAACCTCCCTTGAGGCCCGCTCGCTTATGGAAATTTGCTAGCGTATAGAACCAAAAAATCGACTGATCGCCTGCTCTTATTTGGAAAAACTCACAGGTGGATGCTCTTGCAAGTAGAGGTTCCACTGTAGTACAAATTACCATGTTTTGAAAATATGAAAAGTGCATTTTTGCATCAGGGGCCTGTTATCCTAGTTGGAATACTCTACAGCCACTCTAGGAGAGTTCTAGTGAAGATGCTTTAAGTCTCTGCTTAGGTAAACATAATTGCTTAATTTTTTTTTTAGCACATTGGCCGCATCCCACCGAGGCATAAATTTAGAAATTTATACAGGAGAAGGGGTTACTAGCCCCTTACTCCTGGCATTTTAGTCGCCTCTTATGACATGCATGACTTACGCAAGAAGAATTCGTTTCCACTTCCCCATGTAGAAATTGCTCAATTATATAATTATTATGAAGGAGGGGTGTTAATGTTGCAGTTTAAAAACTGTAGTGTAAAGCACCCTTCTGGCAAGACAGTGACGGAGTGAATGATGGTGAAAGTTTTTCTTTTTCGGGCCACCCTGCCTTGGTGGGAATCGGCAAATGTGTTAACAATAAGAAAAAAAAAAAAGTTTTTAAAATTTTTTAGACTATTGCTGCATTCCCAGAGTATTTTCTCTTAACTTCATTTAGCTCTTTGTTATTTATCTAGTACATTTCCTTTTAATTGTAATAATATAAATAGAGAATTTATATTTTTTCAGCATTGAAATACGTTTTGCACTTGTTAGCTCAGTATGCAATATTAAGTTGTTGAAATAAACTTTGTCAGTCAGTTAGCAAGATAGCTTTTTTATTTTCCCTTTTCAAACTGAATTTTATTACCAGTAAATATCATGTCTTGCCTTTCTGCAGGGCGAAGATGGTCAGTGGGACGCCAAGAGATTACAAAATGAGAAAGAGGCTGTTAAAGCATTCAAAAAGAAATTTCGTGAGAAAACGGACAATGGATGGAATACTAGAGACAAATTTGTGCCACATCCTGGGAAATACTGCCTTCAGGAAAGTATGTAAAAGTGGAAGTGATAAATAGCTTACTGAAAGAAAACTGGTGTTAAGAATTATTAATAATGGTGTGTGAACACTGTAACATTTATGAACGGTTTCAAGGAAATTGATTAGCCAGATTTAACCCCTGCCAGTTTGGGTTTAGACCAAAAACAGTACAAATGATGCGATTATACAAATGCTTGAACTAATACATACAACCCTCGATAAAAATGAACATCCACCGGGGTTCTTCATTGACCTATGGAAAACATTTGATACAGTGGACCACAGTCTTCTGCACCTAAAGCTAAATCATTACGGCATCAGAGGACATTCCCTCAATTTCCTAAAATCTTATCTTAACCCTTTCAGGGTCCGTTCTGTAGATCTACGGCTTTACGTTCAGGGTCCAAACCTTAGATCTACGCCAAAATTCTAGCGGCGTCAAATTTAGTGCGAGAAGGCTGGTAGGCCTACATCTGAGAGAATGGGTCTGGGTGGTCAGTGTGCACACCATAGAAAAAATCTGGACGCCCGCATGGCATTGTGGGAACGCCGGCAAAGTAGCTTTGTTCATTGTGCCTGGCGGCAAGGAAGTTCTCACTCTCCGGGCGAATTCTGACTCTCCTCTTCACGACTTACAGTTCTAAGACTGATGGAAGTGGAGATGAAGACGAATTCTATGGTTTTGAACCATATGGTACCATTGTGCCATATGGTACAATGGTACCATATGGTACAATGGTGCCTTATCATACAATGGTATCATATGGTACGATGGTATCGTATGGTAGAGTGGTACCATATGGTACAATGTACCATATAGTACATTGTACCATATGGTACATTATACCATATGGTACAGGGACCCTAATGGAAGTAAGTCTGTCTGACTTTTTTGGGTTATCCTAGGTTCTCCAAACATATGCTGCTAAGTATGATATTCTATGTATACCTAAATAAACTTACTTATGATGCCACATGCACTTGAATAAGTTTATTCAGGTGTACAGAAATACAATTACATAGATTATCATACATAGCAGCATACTTATAAAATCATAGGATAACCCAAAAAATCAGGGTGACTTATTTCCATAGTTATCCCTGTATCTGTACCATATGATGATCTGTACTGTATGGTACTCTGTACCATATGGTACCCTGTGCCATATGGTACCCTGTGCCATATGGTACCCTGTGCCATGTGGTACCCTGTGCCATGTGGTACCCTGTGCCATATGGTACCCTGTGCTGTATGGTACCCTGTGCTGTATGGTACCCTATACCATATAGCACAATGTACCATATGGTACCCTGTAACATATGATACCGTGTACCATATGGTCAATAGGTGCTGGTGGCATGAGACACCAGGCAAGACTGAGTGAGTGGCGACACAAGCTAGCTACTGACTCCCCAGTTTCCAAGACAAAGTGCTTTGTCATCCACCTCAAGGAACACGTCAGGTTCCTGTACACTTGTAAATGTATATTAGAACATTACTAATATATAACATTTTTGCATATTTTTGTTGTAAACAACTACTGTAAACAAAATAATAATGAAAATATTAGTGTTTATTGTGTTGAATACAACAGTACCATATGGTATCATTGTACTGTATGGTACAATGTACCATATGGTACCATTGCATCATATGGTACCATTACACCATATGGTACCATTGTATCATATGGTACCATTGTACCAAATGGTGCCATTGTACCATATGGTACCATTGTATCATATGGTACCATTGTATCATGTGCCATTGTACCATATGGTACCATTGTATCATATGGTGTCATTGTACCATATGGTACCATTGCACCCTATAGCACCATTGTACCATATGGTACTATATGGTACCTTTGTATACAACACAATAACCAGACTAATATTTTCATCATTTTGTTTACAATAAACTTGTAAACAAGTTTTGTAAGCAATGTAATGATAAAGAAGTTAGTGCAGTTATTGCGTGGAATACAATGAGTGTACACTTATACAATAAACATTATATTGGTCTTACAGGCCACAAATGTATTAGAAAAAGAAAAAAATTAGAAAAGAAAAGAAAAAAGTATAAAAAACGTAAAATAAAAAAATGGGATTTTGTGGAAGTCACTGATGTTGCAGCCACCTGGTCATTTTGGTCAACTTCCCGCCGCTGTATCTCGGTAAGTACTGATCAGAATTTTTTTTTTTTGTCTTATTACCTTCACAAAAATATACTCTTTAATTCTGAAAGAAAAAATATTTTTTTTTTTTTTTTTTCAAAATTTCTTGGACACTGGAACACCACTTCAGATTTTGGCCTTGGACCCTGAAGGGGTTAACGATAGACAACAGTATGTATGAACAAATGGAGTCAACACCACTATCCAGCCTGTAGCTGTCGGAGTGCCCCAGGGTAGTGTCCTAGGCCTGCTCCTCTTTCTCATCTACATCAATGATCTCCCCAGTGCATCTCAACTCCTTAAACCATTTCTGTTCACAAACGACACTACTGATTTCTACTCCTACTCAAACCCAGCTGTACTTGGAGACACTGTAAACAATGAGCTACTAAAAATATGTACGCACTTGGATGATGACCAACAAACTCACTCTCAACATAGACCAAACATACTTCATGCTATTTGGAAACAGAGCCTTAAATATCCAACTTCACATATCAATAAATAGTTCCCTTATTACAAGACACACTGAGGGTAAATTCTAGGTCTTCTCCTTGACTGTAATCCTAAATTTTATTCCTACATCCAACATATATCCAAGAAAATTTCCAAATCAGTAGGCATCCTTTCTAAGATATGATACTATGTACTCCAAACAACACGCCTTACCCTTACCCTATACCACAGCCAATCACTTTAAACCTTTAACCCTTTCAGGGTTTCCAACGTACTAGTACGTCTTACACGCCAGGGTTATTGACGTACTAGTACACACAAATTCTAGTGTCCTCAAATCAGGCAGGAAAAGGCTAGTAGTCCTAGATGTGAGAGAATGGGTCTCCATGGTCAGTGTGTGCGGTACAAAAAAAATCGGGGACCCAGTGGTGTATTGTGGGAAAGCCATTTTATTACACCTTGTTCACCATGTTTAGCGCTAAGAAACTTCTCACTCCTTGGCTAATTGGGGCTCTTTTGTTCCCAAGTGACAGTTCAAACACAGATGGAAGTGCCAGTGAAGATGAATTTCATGATTTTGAGGAGTTTGTGACTGAAAGCAATGCCTAGGAAACCTGAAGGAAAGAAGGAAGAAGGAAGGAAGGAAGAAAGGGAGGAAGGAAGGAAGAGATGAGAGGAAGGAAGGAAGAAAGGAAGAGATGAGAGGAAGGAGGGAAGGAAGGAAGGAGACCATCAACTTAGGATAACCCAAAAAATTCAGACAGTGACTTATTTCCATGTGGGTTGGTGGGGTGAAGAGGAAGTTGACAGGCAGTGAGGGTGGTGAGTGATGGTGTTGTTTGTCATTGTGACACTAATTACACAGGTGACTCAGCATATTTACAAGTCTACCCCCACACAACAACTACAAGCTTTACAGAAGCTGTAGCAGTTCTGGGAAGTGTCCAGTGACTTTATATATGTATATATGTGATAGAAAAATAGTAATAAGCAACATTTTTTATTGTTTGTATAAACATGTTTTGTAAATATAATGACTGTGCAATTATTGTGTAGCATATGAGTGAATATACATTCAATATACCTTATATTGGTGTCATAGACCATAAAATTACTTGAATGAAGAAAAAAAGGAAGGAAGAAGGAAGGAAGGAAGGAGGGAAGGTAGGTAGGTAGGAAGAGATGAGAGGAAGGAAGGATGGAAGGTAGGTAGGAAGGAGGGAAGGTAGGAAGGAAGGAAAGAAGGAAGGTAGGTTTGAGGGGAGGAAGGGATGTGTTATGGAAGGCAGTGAGGTTAGTGAGTGGTGGTATGATGCATCATTGTGACACAAGTCACACTGGTGACTCACCATATTTACAAGTCCACCCCCACACTACTACAAGCTTTCAGAACCTCTTGTAGTTATAGAAGCCTGTCCAATGACTCTATATGTGTATATATATGATAGAAAAATAGTAATAAACAACATTTTTTATTGTTGGCTTGTGTAAACATGTTTTGTAAACAATATAATGACTGTGCAGTTATTATGTAGCAAAAGAAGGAAAGTAGGAAAAGAAATTGGATCTCAAGTGCCTCCTAGTAATGGACAATGCACTTGCTCATCCTCCAAACTTGGATGACCTAATTCTGCAGGAGTTTGGGTTCATCACAGTAAAGTTCTTGCCCCCGAATACCACTCCTCTCCTCCAGCTCATGGACCAGCAGGTCATTTCAAACTTTAAAAAACTAACCATACCCCGGCCGGGATTGAACCCGCGGTCATAGAGTCTCGTTAGCCACTAGACCAGCTAGCCACAATAAGATTCATCCAACTAGGTATATTTCTACACCATAGGAAGGTTAGCACAGGCACCACTGTGACCACAAATGCAAGTTTTTACAGACGAATCTCCAGCTAGCGTGGCCGTGACGAACTCTAGCTCAAGTCCCTTCACTGCCGTCAACTCTACACCAAAGCAATGTTTCAAAGGTGCTTTAATGTGATCTCAGACACTCACTTGACCCTAAATTGTGGCCAGATTGTGTCCACAAGAGGGGTTTTGAAGGGTTTGTGGCTGACCCTGATGAGCCTATGTCAGTTGTGAACTCTATTGTGTTATTGGGGAGTTCCATGGGGTTGGATGTGAGTTTGGAGGATGTGGAAGAGTTGGTGGAGGACCACAACGAAGAGTTAACCACTGAGGAGCTGCAAGAGCTTCAGCAGGAACAGCAACAGATCGCAGCTCAGAATCTTGCTGCAGAGGAGGAGGAGAGAGATGGAAGAAGGTGCCTTCTTCAGAAATTAAGGAGATTTTTTAAATGTGGGGTAGGATGGAAAGATTTATGGAGGAACATCACCCTGAGGGGCCACAGATATATCAGATCACTTTCTAGTTGTAGCTACACTGAGAGTAAAAGGTAGATGGGATACAAGGAGAATAGAAGCATCAGGGAAGAGAGAGGTGAAGGTTTATAAACTAAAAGAGGAGGCAGTTAGGGTAAGATATAAACAGCTATTGGAGGATAGATGGGCTAATGAGAGCATAGGCAATAGGGTCGAAGAGGTATGGGGTAGGTTTAAAAATGTAGTGTTAGAGTGTTCAGCAGAAGTTTGTGGTTACAGGAAAGTGGGTGCAGGAGGGAAGAGGAGCGATTGGTGGAATGATGATGTGAAGAGAGTAGTAAGGGAGAAAAAGTTAGCATATGAGAAGTTTTTACGTAGTAGAAGTGATGCAAGGAGGGAAGAGTATATGGAGAAAAAGAGAGAGGTTAAGAGGTGGTGAAGCAATGTAAAAAGAGAGCAAATGAGAGAGTGGGTGAGATGTTATCAACAAATTTTGTTGAAAATAAGAAAAAGTTTTGGAGTGAGATTAACAAGTTAAGAAAGCCTAGAGAACAAATGGATTTGTCAGTTAAAAATAGGAGAGGAGAGTTATTAAATGGAGAGTTAGAGGTATTGGGAAGATGGAGGGAATATTTTGAGGAATTGTTAAATGTTGATGAAGATAGGGAAGCTGTGATTTCATGTATAGGGCAAGGAGGAACAACATCTTGTAGGAGTGATGAAGAGCCAGTTGAGTGTGGGGGAAGTTCGTGAGGCAGTAGGTAAAATGAAAGGGGGTAAGGCAGCCGGGATTGATGGGATAAAGATAGAAATGTTAAAAGCAGGTGGGGATATAGTTTTGGAGTGGTTGGTGCAATTATTTAATAAATGTATGGAAGAGGGTAAGGTACCTAGGGATTGGCAGAGAGCATGCATAGTTCCTTTGTATAAAGGCAAAGGAGATAAAAGAGAGTGCAAAAATTATAGGGGGATAAG